GAGAATATGATGTTTAACTCACTTTTTCTCAAAAGTGAAGATTTTGACCACGGCGGATCAATGCAAAATATGTCTTGTCATAATAACAATTGTGCTAACGACTTCAGAGTTGAATGTGTACCTGCAACTTGTTTGCTTGCACCAAAATCTTATAGTTGTCATAGTGACAATTGCTAGCCTATAGCCTAAGCCTTCACTTTTACAGGATCAGAACCAACTTCACTGCAACGGCTGAGTGGCAGTTCAAAATAATCCTTCACACCATAGACATGGGCCTGTTACTGTCTGTAAAATCAAAGATCTAAAGAGCTGACTATTATTATGAACAGTGTAATAAATAATTATTAACCCTCGGCGCGCATGCGCACGAGGGTTACAGTACTTGGGCTCTGTCTTGTGGTGTGTTGTTTCTGTCTGTTACTCTCCAATCTCACTTCTCGGTGTTCTGTTCGTCTCAAAAAGAGATACGACCACTTAAACTTGACAATGAAGGTCAGAATTTCGAACGGTTTTCTCTGAAATGCCTCCGTGCAAAGCTAGATCGCGAAAAAAGCAATAGCAAATACACAACGACTCTACCACAGTGGATCGATCCGCGTGCTCTGCGTACTTCGGAGGACACCAAAAAGACGATGCAACGAGGGAGTGTAATCGACTCTCGCATATATATATATTGTACTTAGCCCGCGTAAAATCTGTGCGAGCTGCAAGGACCGCGAAGTAACTCTAAACTAAACCCAGCCCATAAAATTAGTGTACGCTCATGCGTTTACAACGCTTGCGCGTCACAGTGCCCGAGGGTTTTTGAACTTCAGTGCTTTTCATTTATTTATCATAATAAACTAGCCTTATTCAATTAAAGGTCATACATAAACATTTTTTTCTGTAACTAAGCTAGCAGATGAACACAGAAAGCGAAAAATGGAGGGGCACTCTTAGTGGTGTCACCGGTCCCTTGTTTCCATACCCATAAAAAGAGCTGATGAACAACAAGACTATAATTGGGATTACTTAGTCTAAGTGTCATTAGTTCCTTTGTCTTTATGCACGGCCAAGTATTAGCCTCTCCGTGGTATAGCTCCCTCCATGTTAGTTCTCAATGTGCACTGTGGCGTGTGGGAACATGTGTTTGTCGTGAGCTGTTTTCATCCTCGATTATCGTAGCGAAAGACTTATGTGTTCTGATGTTATGAAAAATACCGAGGAAGGAGAAACGAGAGAGTGACACAGAGGAACAGAAGAGGAAGTAAGACAGTGATGAAGTGACTGGTGTGGTGATGTGTAAGAAAGTTGAGAGAGTATATGTGCATGCGAGTTGTCTGTTCTGAACAACTGTGGAACGGTTGGCATGGTCATCAGGAAGTTGTATCGGTAGCTTCAGGGCACGGTCGTAGGTGGGTAGGGCCTTGGCATACTCATCTATATGGACAGTGTTGGAAACTGTGAAGGTATATTCATGGATAGTGATGTGGTGTGCTATGAATGGGCAATGGGACTTACAAGTAAAAACACTATTATACTTAGTAGGCGAATGCAGGGCATTTTTGCGAGCGGGATAGGTATATAGCTGTACAAGCCTGTTCTGATTTAGCTGGTTGACAGTGTTATGTTGATGCAAAATTCCAGATATGTGAAAAACCACACCCACAGAAGGCGGAGTCACAAACACTCTGCTTCGTTACAAAAACTTCGCTGCATTTGCTGGAGCTCTGAGCCAGTCTCCATCGATTCACCATTATAGTACGCAGAGCGCTCAACGTGAGTGCTCACTCTAAGAGTGAGTGCTAACGCAGTAACTACCACATACGCACCCCGTTTCCCTGGTGTAGTGCCCTCGCGGACCAGGGCACTGGCTTTCTACTGCTGCACATTTCTACCTGGATAAGTGTCTAAAACCACAAACATGCAATGTTTTTCTTCATGCCATTGCTAAAACGTTCTAAGAGACTCGTAAAACGCATGCACAGCTGCAAGTTGGCCCCTAGTGCCCGAATGACACAATATTACAGAAAAAGCTGCGTCATTTGGACCACTAGGTTAGCCTGCCTCCCATCGCCATTAAGGTAGTTAATGAGTATCTAGTGCAGCAGATAAAGCTCCTTTCACCACATCAGTACGTACCTAAGATGTTAGTATCCACAAAACTCCAAGCTAATCTCTAAGGAAGACCGAGAAAATGTGTGATGAGTTCAGTACAGCTTAATAGCTTTATAGCTTTTCATGACTTGCAAACAATACGACATCCGTAAGTATCAAATGAATGTATCGAACAGCCCAAAAACAGTATGAGATCCGGAGTTATTTGTCTGTACCAAGACATTCCCACACAGAGTCCCTATGTACCTGCATGGAGTACATGACAGCCAGGTGTTGAGTGCCCTAGCCACGTCAAGGTGGTGAGGCCCCAGAGCTCCTCCTTCAGCTCGCAAACTGACTGTGTAGAAAAACATGGTCAACATCTATATATCACGTTGCACGCGGTGCCAGTAATATAGCCAATAGCTAATGAGTTAAAGAAGAGTTAAAGGTGTGCATGGACATCCAGCCAGTTGAATAATCAACATGTCGAAACGAGAAAAAAGATAAAAAGTGGGATTCAAACCCGTTACACTTGTGCTCCCAGCACAGCACCACTAGACCACTGCTTCTATGAGGTAACAGGAGGTCTAAGTAGCTATTGGCTATATTCAACACACCAAGAACCACTTAATAACAAATGTTGTGTGGGGACTTACACTTGAAATGGCTCGGCAAGGTCAAGTCTGTTCTGTAATAAGAGACAAAGGAAGAATTTGTTAATTCAGAGTTGAACTATGTATACTGAAGGTGTTTGCTAGGTACCCTTGGTGCCTCTACACATTATATAGACTTCACCTGAGCCCTCAAACATTTTCATTTTACGTACATCCAATCCTTATACCATTGGAGTCCTCACAACTTTCCCGTTCTGATGATATGCTTTACTAACAATGAAACCTTATCAGTCAAAAGTTAGCTGTTCAGTTGAACGAGAATATACTTTAGTTACCTGTTGTCTGTAGAGGGTGGCTAGTTTCCCAATAACTTCAGTCATCTGTTGTGATGAAGTGGCACTGTTCTATAAATAAATATACGTCACGGAAGTAAACACTCCACAGAGTGAACATTATGATACCTTCTTTAGTATTTCATACACTTCTTCATACAGTGAAGTGGCTTTCTCCAGGCTGTGGAAAAACATTTATGGTCATAAAAGAGACAGTCACTGTGGTGTCTGCATATCTAAGCATCAGTAGACGCTCTATATAGGGATGGCATGGGTCAAATCTCATGCGATCCACGTAGCTATAAAATGCCTTCAAACGTCAAAACATACTCGCAATAGCCCAAACGCCTCATGCGTGTTCTTATTTTGCCAACGAAGATGCGATTAAATACATCTCTGGAGTTAAAGAAGGTGTGCATGGACATCCAGCGAGTTTGTCTCCCTTGAATTAGCTACAGCCTTTGAGAAGGAAACAAGATTTCGATGAGGTATTATATAACATCGTGGAAATGATCACCAAATCATTCTGTTACCTGTATACCTCAAGGTTAGTGTTACAGGGTAGAGAACGCACCAGTCAGTCTTGGTATAGAAGAGGGCAAGATTCTGGAGTGGTGTGACAACCTTTACATCGCTGTCCCCATACTGCGACTCATAGGCCTTCCACGACCGCAGGAACAGCTCTTCTGCAAGGCTGAGGTTATGAAACAATGAAAAGCACTAAAGTGCAACCCCTCAGCGAACTGCGCATGCGCGGTACTGCTAATTGATGGGCTGGGCTATTCATGCGTTTACTCGTGGTCTCCCGCTAGTAGCTCGCGGAGAGTCTGACACGGGCTAGTTATAGCATGCGGGAGTCGATACACGCCATTCGTTGTGACTTCCTGAGCCCCCAAGGTACACAGGAACGAGCGGATCAGGTCGCGGTAAACCCAGTGCTAATATGTGCATATTGGCCTTTTCGCTTGTTTTCACGGCATATCGGCCCTTTTTTTTTTCAGGCTTGAATTGTTCTGAAGCCGCTGGTATCGCTAAAAGGGCGCCTCATAGCCTAGCTGTGGTGCCAGAATAAGCGTTGACACACAGACACACAGACAAACCAACTACTGTAACCCTCGCTGTGCATGCCCGCCAAGGGTTAATTACTTAATAACCACAATACATTGCATCCTACATTTGTAGACAATTGCACAGAAGAAAAACAGCAGCACACTTCTCTCAATCTCCGGCTTGGCCATGTATGATTTTCTGGTGACAGGTAGCAGTCTGATCAAGACGTGTGCGCGCCAGCGTAGCCAGCCAGCAGGGGCACATGCGCAATCGCACTCGCGTACGCTTGTTTTCAGTCTCACGCATATCTGTGGAACGCAGTCGTTTCATGAAAATCACCACACTAATATCCATGTTCTCGTTCTGAAGCCGATGGCGCCACTCATTGGCCGCCTCGTAGCCCGTAGCGCCAGAATAGCAGTGGACAGACAGACATACCAAGTACCGTAACCCTCGCTGCGCATGCGCGATGAGGGTTAATAACACACAGGGGTAACTCAATACGTGAGCAATATGAAAAGCACTTAAGTGCAAACCCTCGGCGGAGATGAGAGAGAAGGGGTTCCATGTACATGTAAGCAAAGTTGAGGGACTCAAGGTGATGGTTGCTTTCGAAGAGTCTATGTATCAAAATACCCAGTGAGCCGCAGTTGTTGCTACCTCCAATTGTTTTTAGTGTGCATGGCTGTGTATGTTCATAAAGATGGACACTTATGTGCCCTCTTCCTAAACCTCTCTTCTTTCCACACTGTCTCATACACATTACTGCACATACAGGTACGTTGTCTGTCGTTCTACTGTCAATGGATGTGTGCGACTGGTGTCTACCTGGCATCTCCAAAGAGAGACAAGAGGACGGCCATTTCATTCAGTTTGTGTGCAATGGCAGGGTCATCCTCACTCTCCTGCTGTGAGCAGTACTGCTCCAGCTTGGCCGCTCTGCTCTTGAGGATATTACTGGGCTGCAGTTAGGATATCACCACGTGGGCATTTATCAAAGAAACTGCTACACATCTGAATGTGTACTGGAAAACTCAGACACAGAAGGTGTATATATGTACCGTGGCAAGATAGAGGATATGCCATCACTATAGTACAATCAGTGGAGGAAAGAAAGATCCAGGGCTGACTGTTTCACATAATGTACAACAACGTACACCAGTGTAGGGTGAGGATTGCAATTATGGTAAATAGAGCACATTCACAGAGTAGCTTTTTAACATGGGAGAAGAAACACAAACTGGAATATATGCACTGCATCCTTACTGTATGTGTCATTTTTGTCATATTCTTCATCGCAAATGCCTTCGTCGAGAGAGCCTGTGCCACATCAGCACTGTTGGAATGCACATGATTTTCATACTACATATCTTACATTGAAAATTACAAGGCATACCGTTTAATTTCTCCAGAACACCAACCAGAGCTTCAACAACCTATGTACGTATCAGTGTGGATTGTGATTATGTGGTATAGCTACAAGTAGCACTATGTCATTTCATACGTCAAACAATGCATACGAAGTAGAACAATGCGATTTCCAATTTCAAACTTCAAACGCCATTGGTATGTTTCCCCAAATGACCATTTAGTTGTGAATGAGTGGTACACACCTTGAGAACTTGTGCTGGAGAAACATCAGGATTTGCTTCATATATTGCCAGCGCCTGATAGTAGTACTCTTCTGCAGCTCTGTGGTGTGGCATGAACAACTAATGAATGCAGTAGGGAGGAGGATAGTAAAAATAAAGGGGTAAAGGGGGCGGTGAATTTTTAAAAGGACACACTCACAACGTGAGAAGTTAACCTTGTGGTAGTACTTGTACACCAAGTGCATCGCAAGAGTTGAGCTTTAAACTTTTAACAAACTGCAAAATGCCCTGCTGGTGTACACATTTTTGTACAGGTGGTCTCATTATTTAGTAAGCTACTGTGCTCTACACATTGTATATACCCATATCTGGATATGTGAGTGTAGGTGTCTGCGATGTCGGTAAAGGCTTGAGCAATCTCCACTCCGTCCGGCTCAAAGTTAGCCTCACACAACTGCAGGCTGTGCTGGAACAGCGGCAGAGCCTGTACACAGACACATAGAACCAACCACTCACCCTTGAGAGTGCAGCATATTGACATTACATAACACGACAGCACTGTTAACAGGTTTGGTTCTCTCCCATAGCAAAAAGGTTAGCCCCTCCCTTTCGGGGGCTTAGGCTTCAAGTGTATGGTATTGGCAAATTTTTTTGATTCTCCACAGAAATGTATGCATGATAAAAATTGCTCAATTTGAAAATGGAATGATGCCATGAGAGGTATTGGAGAAACAGATTTGACGGTACGTAGATAGGTGAAGAGAGAGTTCACCTCATCGGAGAATCCCAGACTGTCCAACACCTTCCCCACTGTCCTGAACATGGAGCACATCCTCTCTGGTGGCTGACTCATACTCCCTGAAACACATCACACAATCATTCAACGAGCTGAAATGTTGATGAAGTGTTTTCCTCTCTCCTACTATCACCTTACTTCCTTCTTCTCACCCTCCCCCGACAACATTATACCTCAACGAGCCAAGATGTTCTCTCTTTTCTTCTACTCATCCTCATCCTTTCTATTTCTCTTACTTCTGACACTCCAAGAACACATTACGTACATCAATGATCGAGCTAAGTTCTCTCTCTCCTTCCACCACCTCACTTACTTCTCATCCTTCCTTTTCTTTTTCTTTCATAGCCACGGTATAATTCTATGTACTTACCTTCCTGCTGCTCCTCAATGGCTCTGAGAGCGGTGTAGTACTGGGCAGCCATGACATTCAGATTGCGGTCCAACTCTCTCCAGTAGCCCAGCAACTCCTCCCCATGGCCACTATAGGAAGCACAGAACTCTGTATAAGCAATAGAAGCACTGTGACGTATGTTTGTAAGTTGCACCACCACCAATGCTGTCACCATCAAAATAAAGTACGGTACGTATGTATGCTGGTGTCTAATTTTAAATGGTGCCCAATATCAATAACCATGCAGTATGATGTTCCCACCCAGAGTAGAGCTGGAGGAGAATGTCCACATTCAGGACTGTGTGGTAGAGCTCTTTCTTGAGGTCTGCTCTCTGGAGCTGCCACGGAACCTCCTCTGCTGTCCTACTCATCAGACTACTGCAATGGTACGGAGTGGCAATATAAGAACGGTTGTTGCACGTTTCTTAACAATGGAGAAGCATGCACTTAGGATGTGTATACATACAAAAACCCTGGGCATGAAAATTTTCAATATCTCCCCCTCATATGCAATGTCGTGAGGTGCTGAAAGGAGCAGGGTATTGCAGCGTGTGTTTCTAAAATGGACATGTAGTAGCCTACGTACCTGGAAGACTGGAGATAGTAGGTAGTGAGTTGCTCAGTCCACTGCAGCAAACTCTCACTGGACGACAGGTGACTGTACTTGAGTTGAACAGCACCCTGAACCTGCAGGCATAACACTGCTTAACTTTCCTGAAAGCTTAATGTGTACAAATTTTGCCTACAAAGGATGTCTAACTACATATAAATATATATTGGACTAATACAGGGGGGAGGGGCGCATTTATAAGGAACATACGTCATGATGAGTGAGTTGCAAGAGGCCACCGCAGGTCTGGAGTATGGAGCGTCTCTGTAGCTCACACACTGTCAGTCTCAGCAGAGTGTCCGCTAGACCAGTGATCTATTGAGTGAAGTGGCAGTATATAAGGGCAAAATTTACTAAAGACAGAACAAAAAATAACACAATTCAGTTCCATTTTTAGTAACACTTCTAAATTTAACCCTTATATAATTATTCCATTAGAGCATGCAATCGGACATTCCCCACATAACGATGCTACATTAGCACGGGCATAACAACTTGGGCCATTGAAGAGGAGAGGCAACCATCGCCACCCCCAATTCTCAGCCCAAAGACAGGAGGCTCGGTTACACACGAGCGTTAGTTGTGGTGATGCCCGTCACTTTGTCATCGTCTACTCTCTCCTACTGCAGAGATGCATGTCTCAACAACTTGGGAATGAGGTAGAAGGAAAGCCAGGCAAACAGTCAACTACACCAGGACAGCTCTTTCTTTTCAGAGAGCTGCCCTAGGTGGATTCGAACTCACGACACTCTGCATCTAGGCGAGCGCTCTACCAACTGAGCTACCAGAGCAACTCAGCTGGTAGGGGTACGCATGTTTAGGTAAGCAGAACACATCACACTAAGAAAGGATCTGAGTCTTCCAAATGGCTGCCCCACCACTGAGAGAATGGCTAAGAGACAGTTCACAAACATCCTACGTATGGTGCGAAGCGTCACATAATTCATGTAGCTTACGTCTAGCAGTTCCCAAGAGAACACCATTCTGGACCAGTAGATGACCTTAGACCTGACTTGGGCACAAAATCAGTTATTGAAAAGCACATAAGTGCAAACCTTCGCGCGAGCTAACGTACAGCTCTATAAATGTTACTACACATGTTTGAAAAGTGCTGCTAATTATAAATGGGATGTGGCCATGCCAAGCAGGTTGCGGTAACGCATTGTATTGGTGTCTGGAGACAGACTGGCTGTCGAGATGTGCGAGGCATTTCTACAATTCAACATTTCTGCTTTGGCGTGGATTTTTCACTCTAACACAGGGTAGCAGCATCAGGGAGTAACTTTGTCAGCAATTAGCGCTGGACTGGATACTAGTCCTTCACATCTCCAACAGGAGTGTTGAATGAGTCGAATGAGTCGAAGCAGGCCATTGCTTTCACTTGTGCTTGACTCTATAAATCTCGATTAGGGAAATCACCTTATTAATATTCATGCCCACATTGTTCTGAGGCAACTTGTGTGGCTGTTTCGGCGTTAATATTAGCGGAACAAACAGAGACAGAAAGACGGACATTACCAAGTACTGAAATGTTAGCTGCACAGTGCACCAAGGTAAAAGGCACATCATGTACTGGGAGATGAGCAAGTAATGGTATGATAAGGCACAGGTTAGTTCAACTAAGGTGGGTGTAAAATCTAAATGCCACCACTCCAAGGTGCTGTATTCCCCATGGGATGCATTAAACCCCATACACACCACCCTACCTGTTCAATACTGCGGGCCATCCATGGATAGCTCTCCTCCAGCTCCCTGAGAATGAGACAAGTCAGGTCCTCCACCTCCTGCATAAAACGCCACCCAGCAGGATACACACACAGTGTGGGGAGAAGAAGTAAGGAGAGGTAAATGAGGAAAACCAACCTGCTCAGTGACCAGAGTGTCAATGATAGCATCCATCTCCTCAGAGGTTGCAGCACTCACACTGAAGAGTAACATGTATAAATGTAACTGGGTGTGTAACTAGTGTTCATACCTCAGAGCATGCTGAGTTGCCAGGACTCCCCATAGAGGAATGGCTGGTCCTTCAACTGCCAGGGCACCTACCTGTGGAGGAGAGAAAAGATAAACAGCATTGACAATAATTTTTGACCATTGACAAGATGTGTATATGTTGGGGACCAAATAAAAACCAGAAGCCTGTTTTAAAGCCGTCCAGATCGGTTTAAAACGGGCCAGCCTGTTTCTTCAAAGCCGTCCAGACGGATTTTACTTGATCCAGACCAGTCCCCAACATACTGGGGAGAGACAAAAGACTTGCTCCCTTCCCTCACCTGCTCAAGGTTGAGGCTGTCTCTGCCAGCCACCATGTACTCCACGATGTCCTGCATCTCCTGTGCAGTCGGTGTGGGGATACTGGGAGACGGCAGAGCTCTGCAGACACACACAGTACACACAGACCATTAGAAATAACCAATTTTAAGAGGGGATTGGTCTTATATTCCTGTAATTTTCTACGGCAATTGCTACACCCCAGCTGTACATTATGGAAGATGAGAAGGCAGTGATAAACTCCCCAAATGCAGTTTGCAGAATCCGGGACTAGAATAAGTGTTCCTCAGATCAGACTCACAGCTGAAATTGTTTTTTTCCTCATAGGAGGGACTGTGGAATTATCTGAGTGTCCGACTGGGCTATTGGTTTTTATTCTTAGTTTGGTCCATGATTTGTTTTGCATATTCTCTTTTCCCATGCTAGTAGCTAAATATCATGCTATGTAGTAGCACCTCATTTATCAGTACATAATTATTTGGCAGGATTTTTGTAATCAGGACAACAGGCAAAACTTCCAATACACAGCACACATACACTAAATACAAACATTATATCAAACCTATGGCAGTGATCTGCATGCCTTTTGTTAGATAAAAAGTCAGGAGTTTTACTTACACACTGCCTGTATTACTGATGCAGAGCCTCGTGCATGAACAAAATGAGGAAGGTAGAATACGATGGGGCGGTTAAGCACCCATCACAGAACAGTTCAAAATCACGGTACTGCAGAGCCTCATGAACATGATGACAAAGACATAGAAAGTGGGACAGTTAGAGAGTAGGATAAGGTGGTCTCCAACAAGTACTGTAGCACTGAAGGTTCAAAATCAATGCACATACATATACCTCCAAGAGTCAGGATAGTTCTCCTCATTGGCAGAGAGGACCACTCTAATGTTCTGTGGCAGAGGCTGCAGGAGCCAGTACAGACTCTGCTCACACTCCTACAGGGTGTAGGGGAGATTGTGACTAATGTTTTTATACCCAATACTATGGAACAAAAAGTCATAGAGTTCAAACCTTATGCGCACAGTGTCTGTGTCTGTGTATGCACTCATAATAAAGGATGAGATTAGTGACATACATAGGCTTTTGCATTTACAGCCACTGTATATACACATGTATGTTACTTGACAGGAGTGTTAAAAATTTAGCAGGCTATGAGAAGTGTGCCATGGATAGAAATGTGCTATGTCTATCATGTCACCCACATGAACGTGATGCATTCTGGCTACCCCACACTTGCATCCCTGTTTGTGACATCGAAGAAGTTGTACTGTCTGTCGTGACACTCGTGTTGCGGCCTGATCGTTACAGCTATAAAAACTGGGCATCATTGCACGTCAGTTCCCCTGATCACACATTTTATGCATGTAGTTGACTTTATTTTGCATAACCTTGCCTTTCTACCTCATTAGTGACATGAGTACATAGCCAAGAAAACCAACCTTGATGAGGTCGGCTCCATCGATGACAATGACTGCCATCCCTCCCTCCTCCACCTTGGCCACCGAGAGCCTCTCAGACTGTCTGTGATGACTCCATCAGCTGTGACGGAACTGTTGGTAGAGATGACGCCTCTCCACACACATATCTGATCTGTGAGCCAAGATATCGCACTGTATATACATAAAGTCAGGAGAAAATTTGTCTTCCTATACAAATCACGATCATTGATCACCTCATACATATGCACAACATTTCTGCAATGTCTATTTGATTTGACAGTGTGAGGGAGAGGGGAAGATTAAAGGGAATGAGCCAGTATAAAAGGGCTAAATTTAGAAACTGTTACTGAAAATGGGAATGCATTCTTGCACTGGGCCCCATTGTTTAGTTCTATCTTTAGTAACACTTAGCTCTTATCTACTGCCATAGTCCCTTCAAAGATGACTTGTGACTATTAAGCCTGCATTTCAACCTTGCATGTGCATGTGTACAAGTTCACCTTCTTGAGCAGTCTCCCGAAAATGACTCCGGGCTCAGCACTGGACGACCCCAGACACGAGACAAAGTGATAGAGAATGAGATTGGTTTTGCTCCCTCCTCTCTCCATCCTGTCTATCCTAAAAGTGAACATTAAGACTTGAATAACACGTCTTACTCATGACCATACACAGTCAACAACCACAGCATGTATGAGTATAGTTTGAAAGGTGAAGTGGAAGTGTGAGTTGTAAAATATCACAAGATGCATCCCTGTTGACTGCTGGGGGAACAAGGTACACTAAAGTGTAAAAAGTTCTTTGTCCCCTCTCTACTACATACACATGCAACCACCACGGGTGTTAGTAACATTGAGGGACCCTACGTACCATTTGGCGAGGAGAGTTGACTTCCCGAGGCCAGGGTGTCCGGTGAGCAGCAGGGGAAGAACTGGACCTTCTTCTCTCATGTACTCCTCCAGACGATCATACACCTGATCAGTTATGTACATAAGGAAATACTTTGTGTAACTCTCTGCATGTGGATGGCCTAATTATGAGAAGCGATCAGGAATGATTAATGATGCAGCAAAAAGCGACTGCTGGCATGACAGAAGAATACACAAGCTACTATGCACACACATCTGTCTCCTAGTCTCATCACACGCTGTGTAATATTGCATTTGGGTCAGCGGTTATTTAGAGTCACGTAAAACACAAACGAGCAAAAGTGTTGCCGCGCATCCACCCAGGCCAATTATACTAAGATGTCACATGTGACATTACTGAATCATGAAAGCTCATTCCACGGCCTGAGTCTCTATTATTGTCTTCATTCCCCATCTCACCGTCTCCACTCCAAACAGCTCGGGAGGAGCCGCGATAACGTGTGTCTCCATGGTCTTCCTCTGTGCCCAATCTGCCCTCATGTCTTCCAGCTTACCCATCCCCCCCATCACCTCCCCCTGGCACTGTCTCTCCCTCCACCACAAAACCTCCCACTGAGAACTCCTGCCAACCACAAGTGAATGGGGACGTAAAGGTTTTTCACACCCGGAGGGAGTAAAAGCAACATTAAAGGTTGCTTTATATCAGTACAAAGATGGGAAACAAAAAGATACAGCTTGAACCTCTATTACAACAAATAAGGATCACAGTGGAACCTCTGATAAGATACTTTCCAAAATAGGGAAAACATTGAACACCTCCTGGACACTTTTAGCCCCAATTTGACCTCCAAGAGAGAACTACCTATCTAAGAGCGACATATTTACTCGTTGGCCTCCACAGTGTCCCTTTTTCAGCCAGGTTTTGCACTGTACTACTGCAAAACATGCTGTCTTATAGGTAGTGACAACGCAATGGGTTTTTATAACTGTGTTCGTTATGTCACCTTTCTTTGAGAATGGTCTGAATCGTGTCGTCCGTACCCCACTGCAGACCCTTCCACTTCCTCCTCCTACACCACCTCCGCACCTAAAGCAATAGAGCTACATAACACTTGGACTGCGACCACATGGCTGGATGGTTCATTATGTATACACCGAATTTATTCCTGGAGTAACAAGTTTTTCGATCCCACATTTAAAAATTGCTATCCATTGACAAGTAACTGCATGCAACACAAACAAGACAAATTTTCTCGTGAAATTTGTGGTATGTATGTCACGCCATAAAGGGCAAAACTTGCCTACACACCAACAAACCAACACAGACAACCCCTTGTCACTCAAACAGAACATCATTTAGGTAAACACCATAGGTCCGTAGGCCTGTACACCCCCATACATCCCAGAAATCAGTGTCAAACCAGCACCCACACCAAACAAACTCATGTAACCCTCACTCGTGGATGCACGCTGACCTGTTAACAAAAGATGTATGTAGATAGCGTTATGCGCACTCAGTACTAACCCTAACGTGGTCCTCCCATCCTTTCTTCATTTCCTGCTTTTCATCTCTCCACCTCCCACCAACCACCCACCGTCTCCAGCTGACTTTGATCTTAATGGAGAAGACCATGAATCTTCTACCACCCCCGCCCTCCCCCCCTCCCCTTACACGATGTTATGAAATGAGCCAGTTCAAGCCACCATACAGAAAAGTCTACCAAACACCCCTGACCGGAGATGGGTTTAATTTAGGAACAACAACACAAATTCGCAAAAAGAGGGTAAATGTTACTGTTTGCACTACGAAGGTATGTACATGTAATTGCGCTTACTCCGTAATTGGTCATAGTTATGTAGCTGAAACGAGGCGTCTGCATGTCGTAGTTTTCGCTTCTGACGATGAGGAGGGGCACTGTAACAATATTGAAATCCACATACTTTACTTCTTCGCATTCACTTGCAATCAAGTGCACTTTCTTTACAGTTGTGCTCGTACGTATACTATGAGGAATGCTACAATGTATGAGGTAATGTGAAACGCGGCCGATTTAGCTAGAGCACAGTGGCGGAAACAGCATAAAGACCATGAACTGATCCACTATAACCTCATAGTGGAAGGGATGAGGAGGAAGACCTGGGTCTAGCCAGAGGGTTGTTCAGATGACATGTTCAACCCCAGCTTTAGTGACCTGTAGCACATTATACCAACCCAAAACAGAATGTGATAATAAATTTGTGGAAAAATTCTGGAAAAACAAGAAATTTCTGTCGATAGGTCGGTTCTGGCAAGAATTCTGTGAGAAAGCTCACACCGAACACCAAAAGTTTTTCTTTCTGCAATACAGGACGTACATAAGAACCACTCTAAACATACTGCTATTTTTTCTCCTTTAAGAAACACCCGAAGAATTGCTCCTGTCACATTCGGTGGTGTCAAACACCAACACCTTCCATCATTGTAGTCTGTGTTTCGTAGGAAAAGACAAAACTAAGTCTCACAGAATCTGACCTGGAGTGAGTGGAAGAACAAGTGATACGTGTACCACAGGGTACTGGGTCCAGAGCTGAGGGTTGAAAGTGACACGGTGTCAGACTGCAACCTCCATCAATGCACTGCTTTTCGCCACATTTGCACATAGTCCTGCAATGTGCTCGTATTTAATACACATTCCGGTAGTGCGTTCCATGTTTCCCATCCCTATCATGCCTCTCCTTTTCTTTTCTATATCGAATTCGCAGGATTCTTAATAATTACTACTTGCTTCCACTCATTTTCCTATATATTTATACTACTATGTATATCTCTGTGTGTAAAAGGGGCAAGCCCCTTATAAAATTATTAATAGAAAAAAGGTTGTTTGTCATCAGGAAATAATGTAATACACCTCTTCCTCACTTATATACCAGCAGGGCAGTGGAAAGGACAGAAACGAACCTCCCTGAGAGAGGAACAAGGTCCTGGCAGCAGGACTGCCAGGAAATGTACACTGGGAGTGAGAACTGCCATTTCGACGTCCACGAGAGCCTGGCACCCACCCCATTACAACCTGAAGACGGTGAAAAACACACATTTTGGTACACATAATTATTGCAACAACTTTTATGAGAGCTAGCTCATCAAACTAAAGAGTCAACTTCTTTGGCGTACCGTATGAATTTGTTTATGATCTGATGTTCGATATATCCAATCGATTTATATTTGACTCATCATCCTTCTTTTATTCCAATCTCGATTTGGTTCTTATGTTGATATCCCCGGTCATCACCATATGCATTTGCCTTCTGGTTTGCAACACTTCTATTTACAGCTTTAGACCTCTTAAGCTCTGTCTCCACTTTCATCCCCATCTTGCTGTTTGCTCACTCCGCTCCCTCCTCGTCGTTTCTCCTGCGTCGGGGTCATGGAGGAGCAGCCTGTCCTGTGGAGCATGTTATTGCGCATTACTACGCACGAACCGCAGCCATACTTAATTGGCGTGACTTTCCGCTTGAGTATGTAAAGCGTGATATTTTGCCACTGTAACGATCCCGGCGGTGCTTTAACTCGCGTTCTTTTACACATGAAAAGGCACCTGCCGCAGAGGACAATACGGCAGCTACCTGTCCCCAACCCCTAACCCGCCAACCGTAGTGTGGTACTAAAAGTAATTCCCCATACTGTATATACTACCTTCAAAACCCATGGGTTAACCTAATTCACTGATATTCCCCATTAATAGAGGTCCACTGTCAT